CTTTGCTTTTGAAAATTTGTCCAAGGATCATATTTCAGAGGCCAAATAGTTCATAGCATTATTTCCAATGTTCTATGCAGTATGCCTAATCGGGATGCTACACATTTGCATAAGCATGATGCTTCATGGTTAATGCATAAGTCACAGCATGGAGCCCTGAACAAATTCATCCATAGATCCTTCTTGTCATCCCTACTGCAAATAATCAGTGTGTTTAACCTGCAATCTATCATATCTGTAGGTATAGTGATGCATCAAACACCAAAACTGTATGAACTTCATTATAACGCTGTACTGAGTAGTAAACTTCTTTATTTTGAAATGTTAATAATAATAAAATGTTGGTTATATAAAGCCACTGGCATCTGTATTTCCTGTTATTTATGACAGTATTTTTTCATGTTATTTTTTTTCACATCTATAGCTTTATTCTTGTAATTGAAACAGATTGTATTTAAAATGAAGAGTTTGTTAAATTAATAACTTAATAATTATTTTTGCACTATTACTTCTGGGGTAATGTTAATTTAGAGTGAACAAGAACTTGCTGTTCAAGAAGAGAAACATGTTCATTATTCAATAATATGTCTATTCACAGTCAAATTAAATAAGAAAACTCCTGGAAATGTTAACAAAGGTCTGATGAATATAAGCCAGAAGATGCCACAGTAAAGTTAACAGAAAAACATAAGTCTAACCTTTGATAGTTAAACAGTGCACACATCTTGAGAGACTACAAGCTGGTACATGTTCTTTTTACTGCTGTTCCTTGCAATAACATGATGACTAATCTTAAAGGATCTTTCACTCAGGCTAATTTGTTTCAGTCATAAAAGCAAAAAAGTTACACTGCCATTTTTATATTTCCTACTGTCACAAAGAGCATACTCTGACTGAGATTTGTTTTCATATATTAATATTACCATTACCTTGCCCTAGCAGAGAAGGCTATCAAATGCAGTAGTATTGGCAGCATCTCAAAGAAAGGTATACAGTCAATCATATTTTGTTTTGTTCTGTAATTTTTTGTTTTCTATGTGGGAAAAGACAGAAATAAAATAGCTTGAAGTGCCAAGAAGTGAAGTTTTTGTGGGCTACATCTACTTTCTTTTAAATTGAAAACTGTAAAATTTTACAAGAAAAAATAATCAAAGGTTTGGATGTTGCTTTGTTTTCCTTTTCTTTTTTTAGATTTTAGTTTTCAAATACAATTTAACATCTAAATACTACCATTTCACTGATGAGCAGTCATTGGTGTCAATAATTCAAATCACTGGGATTCAAAACAGTTTTGAAGATTATTTACTTGCAGTTTAACATAAAAAATCAAAACATAGCTATTTTATATTAATGTGAAAGTCCGTTAAGCATTATGTTTGCAAAGATCTGAATTTAATAAAAATATATAGCATTGTATGTATTTATAGTCTTTTCTACAAAAATAAGCATACTCTTTGAACTAAATACCATGTGTGATGAGGAAGTGACTTACACCTTAATCAGATGAGTGCTGGTCAAAATTATTTTTGGAAGGGACATAAATGATAAACACAAAACAAGCAGAAGCAACCAAGATGTAGAGCTCTTAAGGAATCTATTGCCTGTCCAAAGTAATAAAGGCAGAACAAAACATTTCTTTTTTACGCTTCTTAAGAAACTTAAAGCATCACCAATGTTGTGTGAATTCAGTTTGTTAGAATTGTCCAAGGTTTCACCTCTTCTAACTTTGCAGTGTAAACTGTTTATCTATGCTTCTTCAGGGACAGAGTGTTATGTCCATATGGAAAGTCCCCATTTATACTACATTCTCTGACAGAACTTCTCTCTAGATAGATACTTGGATCTTAGTCCACCAAATAGTTGAAATTACACTCAATTTGTATGCAGTCTCTTAATGGAGGCTCTTGAAAAATCCAGCCTTCCTCCTATCAAACACCCTGCTCTTTTTATATATATATACATATATATATACACACATATATATACATATATATAATATATATATATGATAAAAAAGGGTTGACACTTCAGAAACATTTTGCCAAAAAGCTAGTATATTTGTATTTGAAAGCAAGGGAATTTCCCTTTCCACCAATATTCTATTTTTATTTTTTTTTAAATAAGGATCTCTATGTGTTGAGTGGGCTTCTGGATATAAACCAAATTGCAGAAACAAAATTTTTCCTCTAAGTATATGATACAACTGCTTTAGATCTTAAAAATAAGCAGAGTAGAGATGTAGTATCTCCTGTAGTATCTCTCCTATGCGATCATTCCTACGCTGTTGTCTCTCTTTTTATGCCAGTTTTTATGGTGTTAAATCCACTTCATCAGTGTCACACAGACTTTCTGCATTATGTCCTCTTAACAGAAAATAATTTTATAATAAATATTATCTAAAGATTCTCTAGTTAACATATGGAAAGAAAGGGGTTTTTATTATATTTTCTTATCAAGAAGACATAAAAACACATGACAACGGTTGTATTATATAGGTTCTTAATGACTTCTTTGCCTCGGTCTTCTCTAGCAAGGGCTCTGACCACACCACCCAAGTCTTGGAAGGCAGACGCAGGGACTGTGAGAATGGAGACCTTGGGCCCACTGTAGGAGAGGAATTGGTTCGAGACCATCTTAAAAATCTGAACGTGCACAAGTCCATGGGTCCTGATGAAATCCACCCGCGGGTCCTGAAGGAGCTGGCGAATGAAGTTGCTATGCCACTGGCCATCATATTTGAAAAATCATGGAAGTCAGGTGAAGTTCCCAACGACTGGAAAAAAAGGAAAATATAACCCCCATTTTCAAGAAGGGGAAAATGGATGACCCAGGCAATTACAGACCAGTCAGTCTCACCTCTGTGCCTGGCAAAATCTTGGAGCAGATTCTCCTGGAAGGCATGCTAAGGCACATGAAAAACAACAAGGTGCTTGGTGACAGCCAGCATGGCTTCACTAAGGGGGAATCCTGCCTGACCAATTTGGTGGCCTTCTATGATGGGGCTACAGAACTGATGGACAGCGGTAAAGCAGTTGATGTCATCTACCTGGATTTGTGTAAAGCGTTTGACACTGTCCCACACGACATTCTTGTCTCTAAATTGGAGAGATATCAATTTGATGAATGGACCACTCAGTGGATAAAGAATTGGCTGGATGGCCTCACACAAAGAGTTGTGGTCAATGGCTCAATGTCCAGCTGGAGACCAGTTACGAGTGGTGTCCCTCAGGGATTGGTGTTGGGACCGGTCTTGTTTAACATCTTCGTCACTGACATGGACAGTGGGATTGAGTGCGCCCTCAGCAAGTTTGCTGATGACACCAAGCTGTGTGGTTCGGTTGATACGCTGGAGGGAAGGAATGCCATCCAGAGGGACCTTGATAGGCTTGTGAGGCGGGCTGATGCCAACCTCATGAAGTTTAACCATGCCAAGTGCAAGGTCCTACACCTGGGTTGGAGAAATCCCAGACACAGCTACAGGCTGGGCAGAGAAGAGATTCAGTGCAACTCTGCGGAGAAGGACTTGGGGGTGCTGGTCAATGAGAAAATGAACATGAGGTGGCAGTGTGCGCTTGCAGCCCAGAAAGCCAACCGTATCCTGGGCTGCATCAAAAAGAGTGTGACCAGCAGGTCGAAGGAGGTGTTCCTGCCTCTTTATTCTGCTCTTGTGAGACCTCACCTGCAGTATTGTGTGCAGTTCTGGTGTCCTCAACATCAAAAGGACTTGGATCTGTTGGAACAAGTCCAGAGGAAGGCCACGAGGATGATGAGGGGACTCGAGCACTCCCATATGAAGATCGGCTCAGAAAGTTGGGGCTGCTCAGCCTGGAGAAGACAAGGCTGCGTGGAGACCTGATAGCAGCCTTCCAGTATCTGAAAGGGGCCTATAGGGATGCTGGGGAGGGACTCTACATTAGGGGCTGTAGTGATAGGACAAGGGGTAATGGGTTCAAACTTAAACAGGAGAAGTTTAGATTGGATATAAGGAGGAAATTCTTTCTGGTTAGGGTGGTGAGGCACTGGAATAGGTTGTCCAGGGAGGTTGTGAATGCTCCATCCCTGGCAGTGTTCAAGGCCAGGTTGGACGAGGCCTTGGGTAATATGTTTCAGAGTGAGGTGTCCCTGCCCATGGCAGGGGGGTTGGAACTTGATGATCTTGGGGTCCTTTCCAACCCTAACTATTCTATGATTCTATGATTCTATAATACAGCTTTGGGTTACAATAAAGTATATTTTCTTTTTACAACACTGATATCTTGAAAACATTGATTTCATTAACTATATTTATTTTCTTAATTTAAGAACGTGCCTTTTATTATATCAGTAGAAGAGGCAGACCACATTCTTCCGGTCTAAATTTTGGGATCAAATTTCCCACAAAAATACACGACATTAATGGCGAAACTAGTGGGGCTGTGATTTGATGCAAATCTAAGAAATTAATGTGAATTTCCTTTTTTTTTTTTTTTTTTTAGTTTTCATATAGCCACTGGCAGTTCTTCTCTTTAGTATGTCATGAAATTAAAATTATACCATTTTAAGGGTGACATGAGAGATTTCATTTATTTAAAAATCTTCTAAGAAAGTAGTCAGAAAATTCAATCCAAGCAACATGCTCAAAAGCTGTAATCTTTCTGTAAGATCTCTGAAAGGAAAGTCTAGCAAACATTTTACCTGCATTTTAGAGGAATTTATTTTACTCAAAGCCATACACAGAATGGACACTCATAAACATATGGATTATTCACAAGATTTATTATTATTATTGTGTGATATATATAAAATATAAAATAAAATATTATAGAATTTAAAAATATTTCAATACAGAACAGTCAACATATTCAGCACTTATTTTAGGCTTTAATAAGGAAAACATAAACATTCCATAAATTTTTCAGCTTGTCTTTGCATAAAACAATGTGATTGGTTCACAGTACACCCAAAGCTGTTTCAGCTGTAAAAAGTCTTACCATTTTCATTTATATATTTTTTTTTAACAAAAAAAACAACAAAGCCCCATAACAAAACAAAAAAGCGTGGGTTGTTGATCTATGGATTTATTATCCTAATTTTACCACTATTCTGGCCAGAAATGCTTGGAACTACTGATATCCTTCCAGAATTCTGTACACCTGTAAGAACCCGGGACTCTATATGTAAGAACAGAGGATCAAAGAAAGTCGAGTTACTTGCATTAAATATGTGTTCTAACATGATTTTGCAATTATTCTCTCAGAAGAAAGCATTGGCATTGCACCTTAGAAGTCAGGTTAATAGAATATTCAACTATGCTGATTTAAAAAACTTAGGCACTTTGAAGTATATTATGTCATGATGATCTGCTCTGGTTTACCTCAAATTCCCAAGTCACTTCTCCTGCTGCCTCAGTTGGAAGTTTTTTGCTACTGTTTTGCCAAATATGCAGCCAAGGTCTAGAATCAATTATGTGTAACAACTTTATTAGTTTCTTGTGGTATTGCAACTTAATCATCCACACACCAGTCGCTCTGCTATATGTTTGGTTCATAAGTATGTATTTGTTCATCACAGTGTTTAAAGGAAACAGGTCAATAAAAGTGGATTTTATCTACAAGAAGTATACATATTGTACAGAACTATTTTTTGGCACAAGCTGTGGACCACTATACCTTAAATTATGCTTGGGTAAGTTTAGACTTATGGTAAATATAGTTCTCCATTGCTGGCATCCAGAAGCCCTCACTCAAAATAAATTTCAAGTAAGTGTCATCTTCATGTATCCTCTTTTTCTTCCTAGACGGTATGCTATACTGGGTCAGCATGGTTGTATTCCACTAGATATGGCCATGAGTCATTACAGATGTCAAACAACTGTAATCCAGCTATTTATATGGTAAAATGTTGCCATAAATTACTGCCATTTTATGACATTTATTATTTTTCAAGTTTGTATTTCTCTGATAGGTAAACCTAAGGATAATGAAACTATGTATTTAATTCACTAATATTTCAACTCTATTCCCTATGATTCTATTAAATGTAGTATCACTGCAGTCATGCACACATACACATTTTATGTTTCTGAGATAGAAATGCCAGGATCTTCCAGAAAAAAAATAAACTGAATTGGTGATGCGCATTTTCTTATTACTTGGCTGATACTTGAGAATAAACTGTAATTTTTCACTAAAAGCAGAAATATTCTGGTGATCTTTTGGCCTTCTGTCTTCTTCTCCAGAGCAGTCTGAAGGCCAGTAGGAAACAAAATGTTGCCTAGAATATGAAGCAAACACAAGTATCAGTAAAAAAGAATATAAGGCAAGAAAGGTTTTTCAGATGATGGATTATTTTTTTTTTTTTTTAAACTGAAGTCTCTAGGAACTCTTGGTGATCCCATTCTTTCTCTCAGTTCCTTGAAGAATCACCCTGTTCCTCCCCCATGAAACTTTGCAACTGTGTAAGGGAAAATATACACACTGCTTTAAATGAAGGTGCAGTGGCTATCATCTGCAGGTCTTTGCTTTAGCGTCAATGGAGTCTAACCTGAGAAAAAAAAGCAACATATGGCTTGTTTCTGACTTTCCCCCAATTCCTCTGCTTTTCCAGATGCTTCCAAAGGCATAGATATATGTTATATCTAAGTGTTCTTAAAAAACTACATAATATGCAGTTCACTTTCCTTTCTGGGAAAGATTCTGGTTAAAAGTGTCTAAATCATCCCAAGCAAATATTTTTATTTATTTATTTATAGATTTATTTCATTGTATATTGAATATTTGGCATAAATCTTTTTAGCACAGAAAAAGTCATCATGTTTACTTAGTAATGTCTGAATTCTCTCCTACATGACTTGCTGATTGATAGGCTCAAAGAAAGCTGTCTTTTCAATACATACAGGACTAATTCCTGAGGCAGATGGTATTTCTTTTCCGTTTGAATATACCTATTGTCAGCAGCCAGGATTTCACCAGAAGATATGTAATCCCACAGACAGCTTAAACCAGACCACAGAAAGGTCTGAAGGTGCAGCTCTAATTCCTGAAAAATCATACAGTAAGACCTCGAAATGAGAAGTGTAGTTATGGGCTTTGTTTGCTAAGATGGATAGCTAAGCTTGGAACAAATTGTATTTCTTTATGAGCACTGCCTTCATGCTTACACAGATACAACAATAGCAAGCTGTCTAACAACTAATTAATGAGCAACACAATATCACAATACCTAAACCCAAACTCAGGGAAATAGATGCAGCCTTCTGTCCAAATAATAGTGGGGAGGATTTCCATGTAAGGCCATGTCACATAGTATCCAGAACAACAAGGACAGTAAGGCAACCTGATGTTGAGGTTTTGGGACGAAACTGTCACAGATAGTGTCCTGTTACGAGGAAGGAAAATGTTTCAACATCCTTCCCAGAAAGTTCAGTCTTTTAAAAGGACCACATATGAATGAAAAGAACAATGAATAAAACTATGGCTCATTTGCATCTTTTTTATACCAGTAAATTCAGATTAATCTACAAGCATTAGAGTCAGCTGAAATGCATTAAGGAGCAAAATTACTAAAAGTAGCATTTGGTATGTGCATGATTATCCTGTCTGTTTTATATTGTTACAATATTAGAAGCCTAAGAAGTCTTTGCTTGTTTTCATTTGACATGTGACTGACAGTTTTCAGCAATAGAAGGTGGAGACAACCCCTTTATTTTGCCCCTTAAAAGCAAATTCTGAGGATTTTTTTAAATGGTGCCAAACCTTTTTAAAACATCCAAGTGTCACATCTTACCTTTTCGAGTTGTCTTGGTACTAGAATTGGTTCTTCTTTGCTGTATGCTACTTACACTTAAACACCTTTGCATAGGGAAAGAATGCAAAAACAGGTTAACATGAGTTTTGAACCAAAGATGTTTACACATGAGGATAAAATACAATCGAAATGTAAAGCACTTCTAGGACATAAGATGGTGCTTTGGCAACACCAGTAAAAATCAAACATGAGTCTTATCTGATTACCGTGAAGGTGAGTTGGAGATTTGTAAGTTGAAGAAGATGGTACAATGAATGCTGCCATTAGTGATATGCTCATACACTAATGCTCACACACGAAGCATGAACATGAATTACAGATCTGAGTGCAGCTGCAGGGCTATGATCATTTTGGGATCACAAAGACATAGTGGCATGGCACCCTTGACTGGAGTGTTGCAATGAAGAGATACAGGCTTTTCAGGAAAGACAGGATGGGAAGACAAGCTCTTTATAGGAGAAAAGAGCTGGAATGCACAGAGCTCTGCCTGGGGATGAATGATGAGCCAGGCTAGAGCTTATGGGTAAGGATTAAAGAGAAGACATGTAGGGTTGACATTATAGTGGGTGTCTATTACAGGCTACCAGTGCAGCTTGCTTCTCAAGTCTTAAATTTTTTTGAGACAAATAGAAAGACTGCATATGTGAAAAACATTTGTATTAAATTATGTATTTGAAACAATGTGAAGATTTAATGATGTAAAAGAATTGTGTCATTGTACTGAAATGATCATTTATTACAGCATAGCAACAAGCAGAGCTTTTAAGCCTTCAGAGTCCCACAGTATTCTTGTTATGCTTAAAGGGGTCATTGAAACTGAGAGAACAACTGGCTTTTCAAAAGGCAAAAGGCAGAATGTTCCATATGAAAAATAACTATATCTGAAACGTTAGTAGAATAAATATCTTAATAATTTGACTGAATGAGCTGATAGTGCTTTTGTCCCTGAGAATGCTAGGGCTACTCTAATGCTTGATAAAATGCACCTAACAATTCCATTTGGCATGATCATCAAGAGATCATGTGTGTCAGAAACTGAAAAATCTTACTCTGCATACCAGTTTGTGAGCATGAACATATTATAGGAATGACCATGTTGCATGAAAAAATGCTTCTGTCTCTGGCTCCTGACTGCAAAATGGTCAATAGTAGACATTTAGCAGAGGAAGATTATCAAGGGCAAGATAGCTTCTGTAGTATACTCAGGACATTGTGTAAAACAGCTTCTAGTGGCATATCTGATCACTTCTGAATCCTTATGAAATGTTGTCCTTCACAATATTCTGTGTTAATAATTTCTACAGTTTAGTTAAGTGTCACATGAAACATACCGTTTGTTTGTCCTGGGCTGGTGCTGATAATTTTACCCAACTCCCTTAGCTCCATCTCAGTGAGAAGCACTGAGTAATCATATCCAGCTCCAATCTCTGGCTAAAGATCAAGGAGCCATTCTACCACAGAACAATGCAGGGAGGAACTAAGTACTTCTTCCTTGCTTACTTTGTTCAGAAACTTATAAAAGTCTTGAAGGCCATTCAGTCTGTAAGTTAGAAATCAAAGAAACATCATGTTCTGCAGTTCAGCTATGTTGATCTTAATTACTTGCGAAGGACAGCTAAGGATAGAGATATCTGTGCACATCTGTGTGCATGTGTTTTACCCCTGTCATATAGCCAAGCCCTTTCTTAAAAACAAAGAGAAAAAAAAAAGTTCCAAAACCTGAAGAACTCCTGACTTTATTTATTCAGCTCCTGACTTGAAAAACAAAAGAGAAAACTGAATACTTGGGATCATTCTCCTATGAATGGTTCCTCCTGCCCTTTTAGAAAGAAGGTTTTAAAGACTTCCAGAATCTGTTTTCCACTGAGACTACTTCTGAAAAAAGCCTTTTACATCTGTGAAAGTTGAGAAAAAAATATTCCCCTTTTTTACAGTATCAGTTGACCTACAGTAGTTTGGAGACCACTAACAGGAAATAGCCATAGATGTGATTATACATATTCATGTAAACATCTCTCTCTGTTGCAGAAGAGTGGGCTAAAATATAACTACTATTTGTAAATAGACAGTGATACTACTTTAATGTTTTGTAAATACCAAAAAGTAATCTGGAAATAGAACTCCAGACCAGATGGCAAAACTGTTTGAAAGAATTGTGCATAGAATTTTTATTTCTGTACTGTGTACCTGAAATTGCCAAAGACACATAGAAAGTAGTTCATTCTCCTTCTGACGCTGGCTCCTCATCTGTATGTGTGATTAATTATTTTTTTTCCTTAGTGTTCTCTAGTAGTCTTTGAGGTTAAAAAAAAAAAAAAAGTATTATTTTTACATAAATCAAGTCAGCCTCTTATCATTATCCTGACATAATGATAACTTATGTACTATGCAACAAACAGCAGAGTCTGCAACTTTTTCTAAAGGATTAAAAAAAACTTATTATTTAAAATATTAGTAGCAATGTGGAAGGAATTGAAAGCAGATATAGGATTTTAAGACTCAGGAAAGCAATAAAGTTGGGAGCATTAAATAGTTTTGAATTGCCTAGAATTAAATTATTCTGGCCTCTACAAATATCTCCTCTTTATTAATTCATTCTTCATCAATGCCTAGTTTACTGCTTACCCTCTTCTACCAGGTCTTCCCTATTTTATCTGTCATACTTTTTTACCTTCTAACTCAATTCCCTTCTTACTCCTGGGTAGCCTGACTCTGAATGGGTGGAGCCACTGGGAGACTTGCTGGAATAGGTATGTATGCTGTGCCATACACACAGATTCCATTTCCACTGTCTCCATTAAGAAGTTAGTTCTCTTCACCACCAGATTCATCCGTAGTCTCTTTTCATTGATAACTCATAAACTGGTCACTCTTCTTAAATTTCAAGTACAAACTATCTTACTTTTCAACAATTACTACTTATATATTATAATACTGTAATATGGGAGTTGTAGTATGGCAATTTTAATAAAGACAGTATGGATATAATTTCAGAAAAATAATAGGAATGATTCCTTGCTCATGGAATCCAAATGCTAACAGCTCACCAAAACGCAATACAGCAGAATTCTAAAGAAAAGTGATTTAGTGATGTTAACTTCACCTCTGACTAATTTGTATCCAAAGATTTGAGTATTTAGCAGTTACGTGTTTAAGTCATGCTGCTATCTCTTCTGCCAGTTTACATCCACAGGGAGATACAAAATGAGAAATTTCTAATTTTCTCTGAGTTGAGCTAATTTGCAGTACAGTGTTAATTGTAAAGACTGAAGAAAATAATTAATAACACTTCATTAATTTCATGATGAATGAAGACAGAAGGGACAGAATGAGATCTAAGAGTAGTTAATCTGTTAATATTCTGTGTTTAACATTACCATTACTAAAGTAGTTCACTAAAGGCATTAACATCTGACAGTGATTTGAAAGGTTGTGGAAATAAATTTGTTAAAGTTTTGGAAAATTTCTGCTCAAACTTTTTACAATGAAAAATTACCCATGTTAAAATTTCAATTTTACCAAAAAACTTCAAATTTGCTTTAGGAAATTCTGAATATAATTTTTTATTTTGGGACAATTTGATCTCATCTTTGAAGTTTTAAATGATAAAAATAAAATTTAAAAGTTTTCCAAATTTTTTCAGTCTTTGTTTGCCAATGTGTTAGTCACTATAGAAACGTGTAGCTGTATCCAACAGTAACTTGATGAATAAAAAGAAAACAAAATTGCAATAGTCATATTATGACTATCTGCCTGGTTAACATTTTTAAACACCTTCTCTCACAACTGGATTTTTTGCCCCCAGTCACATCTGTGTTGGAACTGTGCCAGTAACTAAGACAGAGCTGGTGGACAGCTGGAAATCTCAGACAAATAGCTATTACTCATGTGCACCTCATTTTATATGCAAAGATCAACCTTCTGTCCAGGATATCCCAGACAGTTGACCTACAAGTTATGCAATTGTAATTGCTAGCAGGTATGATTATTAAAAAGCTAAATTTAATATTTTTCTAAGAAGAAAGTTTTGTAAGCTTCTGGTGCAGAGAGAAATGTTGACACTTCGTCATTTCATTCTAATTTGGGGTGAAAATCAGTATCAAAACAATTAATTTTCTTTGAGGAAAAAACCCTGTGTCACCTACTACCTGTATCATACTTGTTTTATTTAAGAGGGGTGATAAAATGAATTAGATCAAATGTCCCTAATTATGAAAAAATCTCCTAAAGCCTCTGTTTCTAGGAAGATGGAATTTCTGCAGTTTTCTGCAGAACTGAGTAAGCAATATTTCAGTAGGGCAGAAAACATCAAGTTTTGTATGACATTAGGTACAGTGAAAATAAGATAAATAAGGGAGGTGCAGGAAAATTACTCTAAATGGTCCTTTTCAGACTGCAGTGGTTTAAAATCATATTTCTGACATCACTGAGAGTAAAACTGACAGGCTACAGTGAGGATTCTCCTCACTGAGGAGAGTGGCTTCTCCTCTAGCATATATTTTGCCTCTATCTCAGAGTGCTCCCTTCAGGATAAGGATCAAGTTGTTCTGGTATAGCATCTCCACCAGATCCTACTTTGGCACATGGCAGGTCTCATATCCTGAAGCTATGAACCCTAGTACCCAGTTAAGCAGACTCAGGCATCACTGTTTGAAAATGTCAGGACCATCTTAGTAATGGAGATGCCCAGAGAAGGTCATATAAGGAGTATATAGCCAAGATTTAACGGAATCTAGCTTTTCAAAATCTTACATTAGCATCATAACATGCTTTGGCTTGTGACTCTTTACCTGCTTTGCGTTATATGAATTTTCATTAATTGTTATATAAGAAATATTTTGGCATTATCCTGAGAGAACTATAAAAAGAACAAGTGTGAAATAATTTATGTGTTTGATCAAAAAGAAAGCAAAAGACCAAAAATCACACAGATCTATAAAATAATAACTGGAGTAGAGAGAAGGGATGTTAAAATCAAAAGCATAATTACGTTGTGCAAAACCCTGTTGAGACACATCTCTGGGAAAGTAAATATCTTGAATTACACCAAAAAAGCAAAATCTGAAAAATTACCAGATGAATGTTGAAGAGTTGAACATGGAAAAGTTTAGCAGGAAAATATAGTTACAGAAGCTATAATACACTTGTGTAAGCTCACACTGAAAAAAGAAGTTGCAATGGTAACACTGTAATAAATAATCCAGTTAGAACTTTCTTACCCTTCATTCAGGCTCCTAATAAAGGAAAGAGAGACCTGAAAAAGGCAAACATGTAAAGTCAGCATAACTTTGCAATGTGCTTCCCAGAGAGAGTGGGAACAGATAGAAAGGATATTGGGTTTTTTATGTTTTGCTAGTTTTTTTTATGGTTTTTTTTCAGTACCAGTACATTGTGACCAGCTATTTTCAATGTTTGTATCAACTGCAAAGGTGATATAAACATAGTGATTACAAAAGGCAAACAATACTTGTTTTGTTGCCCAGTGAAAGCAAAGTTGGGACAATAGCAGAACAGCTGTTTGGCATACTTTCTGGGATTTAGAAACTCTGACAGAGACCTAAGGGCTTGTGTGTCCATTTGTGAAAATGAGCTTGGCTGTTTGTGCCATATCCCTATAGCTGCCAGCGTTTATATGCTCTTTATGCTGGGAAGAGTGCCAGCTTGCCTACATGCTAGATAAGCAAAGGCAGTGAGCACATTTAGGTGAATGACCAGAGAAAAGGCATTTTCATTTATTTACTGTTAGCACTGGAAAGCAAGAAGTGAAAAGTGAAATATATCCACTGCCACAAGCATGAGAGGGATGGTACCCTGGGAATGGGTTTAGGCAGTGAGAAAAAAACTAGTTTCCAGTCTGACACCTCTTACGTTGTGTGCTGTTTTTAAAGTAAAACCAAAAAACCCCTGTAATATAGCTCCTAATAGAAAAGTTTCTCCCTCCAACAGAATAAAATGAATGGATTTACTAAAGGCTCAAGATATATATGATACATATTAGATATATGTTTAGTCTGAGATCTCCCTTTAAAAAAGAGGTTAAATCTGATTTCAGACAGGTGAAATTTATGTTAAAATACTCATGAACTTCCACAGTTGAAGTGATTTACTTTCAGAATGAAGTCCCTGATATGACCCCTGAAGTTCTGTTTTCATTATGACATGCAAAATTGCTCAGAGTTGTTTGACGTCTACTAAAAGTATTTCCTTACCTCAACTGCATTTTGATTTCTTCTCATCTGATAGTATTGATGGATATATTAATAAAAGTTGTTTCTTCTATGATATATTTCAGTCTGTGCCTGGCCTACATGCATTATTCTCTTGTGATTCCACTTGCAGAGATGTGCCATGCCTTTAGACCAGCAGCAAAAACCTTTGAATTTCATATTTGTTTTTAATGTATATAGTGCCATAGTACATAGTTGAATTTTACAGAGAACTATATGGATATCCTGGTTAAGAGATCAAAAATTAAAAAAAAAAATAAAAAAGAGACCCAAACCCAAGAGTTCAACTGGAGTAGATGTACTGAAAAGAGAGAATATAACCTGAATAAGAAAAATAATACATTGTACCACAAGAGCTAAGAAGAAGCAAATATAACTCCTAAGTGTAAAAATATTCATTAATTAATATTTTCGATTACTGATATTCTTATGTGGTAAAATAAGTACTTGTGAGTGGAGACCTTTAAGAGCATTTCAGACAAGAATGCCAATGTATTTCATGATATAGTGATACCAGCTTCTGGCAATCTGGTGCAGTGTGCAATCCACAATGAGAAGTGAGTAGCATATATATATATAATAGGTAATATAATGTAATAAATGCAATGACTGGATACCAGGCTTGAGACTGTGAGATATGTGGTGAAGGGATTAATGAGGTGTGGTGGTTGCACCACCCTGATAGGGGTCATGGGCTGCTGGGTGATTAGGTTATCAGGTGGAGGACTGATGGCCCTTAAATGTTGCCTCTGTCAGTTGGATGGAAGAGTGATGGGTGTGGTTCCTGGTTTTGGTCTGCCCTTGTGCAAGATTCACAGCTCTTGGGCAGCTTGATGGAAGGTCAACTCTCCTTATCCCTCATTTATGTATGAAAACTACAGCAATGTGAGAAACAGGCTGCCCCCACCACTACCTGTGATGGCAGCAACAGGTGATTTGACTAGTTTCACCTCTGCCTCTCTCAAGAGTATAAATTTGGCATTTGAACACCTTTATGGCAGAGGGTGGGTGTATGATTTTGCTTTGCAAGCAAGTTGGTGGGCTTGTGCTTCTTCTCCCCACAGCAAGGATGTCTTTGGCATGACTTGTGCCTCCTACTGTATCTGGTGATAACTGGGTGGAACTAAATGTAATGAATTAGCAACAGTTTTTTCCATATAAGCTCAATTAATCATAGGGTACCTTTGGTTTTTAGAGCTAATGCAGTAAGAATCCAGTAAGTGAATTTAACAATTGTAATTTGGAATCTGTTGCTTCAAAATTCATGAATTGTATTTCTTGTGGAAGTTGTGACTGAATGTGACTGGATAATACAGTGTTGAATTGGTTATGATTGGAAATTATGCTTAGCTTCACCCAGCTTCTCTGATCACTGAGGGCTGGTTGGAAAACAAAGGGGT